TTGAATTTTTTTTAAAAAAAAAGACAAAAAGGAAATATATACATATATATTTACCATAATCTCATGAACCAAAAATCAAAGTTTTGGAGTTTGTTTGTCACCTCAAACTGCGAATCTAGAAGCTATTCTATAAAAAAAATCAAATAAAGATTAATAATCAAATAGCTGTGAACTTCAATCCAAGAATATCAATACTGCACACACTTCTGAGCTATGTAATGAAAATAAATCACTTGGTAAAGAAATTCAGATTTAATACAAGTTCTCCATAACAAGATTTAAATTAGTATTTTCAAATAGTATTGTGCATATCAATAATTTATAATTTATCACTACAAAGCAATCGCACAACACTTATGTTTGAACAACCAAGCGAATGAAAGCCACAAAAGTGAAACCAAAATAAATATTTAGTGTTAATTCCTTTCTGAAAGTAAAAAAGAAAATTAGAAATTAGGAGAATATTTGTCACCAACTGATGAATGCAAAGTCAAATGTTTTCCTTTTGGAATTATTTCAGAACGTGTACCACAAATGAGAAAGTTTTTTTTTCATTACCTCAACCATAGTCACATAATAGAACTCAAAAAAGAAACTAATAAGCCATATCGCCCTTGAATCTCAAGTCTAAAAAATGGAACATCCCTTTTTTTCTTACTTTTTTTCTTTGCTTTTCGGGTGAAGACATCACTACCTTGGTGCATCAGGCATAACACATGGACACATCACACCACTGTAAGAAAAAAATAGAATGAGTAGATGGCATGGGGGCCAATCCATCCCATACCCAAACTATTAACTCGGTACAGTGATAGATGTATCACGACCTAACACTCACACTCGGACAACCTCACTTGGCATTGGGAAAAAAAAAGTAAAGAGTAAAAGTCCCCTCCTCTAACCACTTTGCATTGCCTATATGGAAGAAAAGTTACCTATTCTTAAAGGATCATTAAGTCTTATAGGATACAACGTTAATTACTTCTATAGAAGAGATTAACACAAGTTAGAGCCATGATCAAGCTAGTTTAACTAAGGTCTAGGGAAACTAAAACTTTATCATGTACACTCACACACCTCAAGTATAACTCATTATTGCAACCCCATGTTGTTCTCCCTAATAGCTTTCCGAATATAGTTATGTGCAAATGTTAATCTCCACACTATACACCGCACCAACGAATCAAAACTGAATAATTTTTTTATACCTCCTAGCTTTACTTAATATATAATCAGGTCTTATTTGTAGAAGAGCATATATCTAGTAACAATATAACTCTAGTAATCACAAATACAATGAGATAGAGATCGGTAATCAATAAAATAAATCAGAAGTGTGATGCAAAGAATGACCCAATCCCATCCTATTGTGCACCAGTGTGTCAAATTTTATTAGTTTAAATCTAACTCAAATTTTACTTTTATTTTTCCCATCCTAAGGAAAACATGATCAATATTTTAAGTTGTCATATTTATTTCCCATGGACCTACCGCCCGCTCTGATACCAACTGTAACACCCCAAGTAACCACGTACCTAGAGTGCCACACCGAAAAACACTCAAACCACTAACTTCCAAAATTATTAGAATTTTCGGCAGAGTCTCCCTTGTAAATATGGATATCCACGACATGCAATTATAAGTTAAACTAATAACAATATCATTCCCATAATACGATCCATCCTTATAATTCCATGGAAAGAAACTAATAGATTTCTAAAAGATTATTACAAGATCGAACCATGATATAGTTTAAGTATCATTATGGACCTAAGCAATATAGTTTGATAGAGTGCAAATAGACGTGTATATAAGGGTGCTACTTCCCGCCCATGCATGTCGGTCTCAATGCGTACCTAAAACCAAATAAAACACAAGAGTGAGTATAAAAAATACTCAGCAAGTACAATATGGAACTAGAAAACACACGTACACAACATTGGCAATAAAGCTTGAACATAAGGCTTTCTTTCGTTGATAGGAAACATATTTTCAAACACCAAGTCAAAGAAGATAGTAGTTCCCATCCCGGGCAGGCATGAATTGAAATAGTAGTTTCCATCCCGGACAATAGTGAATACATCCTAGCATTTGCCGGCAAAGCCGAGTAAGCGTGATCAGCGCTTATCCACAGGAACTTGAATAAAGAACCAAATTGCACTCCCATGACTACGCATGGTACTAGAATAATTGAAACTGGAATCAAATAACCAAATTGAAACACATCACACATCCATGGCAAGCAGGGAACTTGAATTATTTAAGCAGAACCAGAATCCAGAATATTAAAACAAGAATAACATCGTACCCATAGGATCAACTTGAAATCTAAATGGCGTGAATAATAATATGAACATAAGCAGTTACTTATCACGTTGAAATATATCAGAAATAAATAGATAGAGTAAACAATTCATGAGTTTTGTACTATGAGTCAACGACGTTGGTTGATTTCTGCAGTGATTAGCCTATGAAAAAGAATTTCCATGAAGCTAAATGGAGCAATTCATGGATTCATTATTAACACGACGAGCAAAGGTTGTCTAACTGAGTAACACGAAATTAATCACTCCGAGTAAGCTAAGCAGGGGATATCTCGAGTGCTTCATCACTCAGCTGAACATTAATATTTTTATCAACAACTCTTGGACATCATTTATCACTGGTCTCCCTTGGCTTTTTTTTTTGATAACAGGTAATTTATTTACCCGGCTTTTGGGAGAAAGCCAAACATAACAAGGTCTGAAATACAGAAACTTAAAGGAAAAACAAGGAAAAAACTGGGGCTGCCAGTACCCATCAAGCGCTAGATAGCTAAACCCCAAAAGACTTACAAGCCCTGCCAAGAAAGACATCCAAACGACTAAGAGACCTCAACCCCAAGAGCAACAACACTGAAACACTAATATTGTATGGTAGCACGTTCATTGGATGAAGAGAGTCGATCTTAGCCTTCAGCTTCTCAAGCAGCATGTTCAAAGCTTCGCGATCTCTTTCTTTTGGCAGCAGCACCTTCCACCTATGCATCAAAGAAATTGCCTTGTACACTACCTGCAAAGGTGATTTCACCAATTTATTCTCAAAAACAAGGTCATTTCTTACCAACCACAAACCCCAGCAAAGACTAGCACAAAGAAAAAGACCTAAATTCACCCTGAGTTTATCCTTAACAGCTTTTATACCATCCCAAAAATTGGTTGGAATTGAACCCCCTCCAATTACCTCCATTACAGAGCACCAAACAAAGCAAGCAATAGGACAAGTAAAAAGAACATGGTTAGTAGATTCAGTTCCCAAGCATAATTTACAGAATTTAGTCCCCCCTTCCAATTTCTCTGAACTAAGAGTTCAGCACAAGGTATTCTCCCTCTCCCAGCCAAAAACAGGAAATGCTTGACTTTCAAAGGAGAGCAATTCTACGATCCTTGAGGAGATACCATGAGGTACTAAATTTTTAGTGTAAAATTTGGTACCTCATGGTACCTCATAGTACCTAGGTACCAAGAGATACCAAATTTACAATAGAAAAAATGGTACCTCATGGTACCTCCTCAAGGACCGTAAAATTGCTCTTCAAGAGCAATAGGAACTTTGCACCCCCAAATCTCTTTCATCTCTTTGTCCACAACACCCCCAAACTTTCACATCAAAGCTTCATTCGTGATCAAACCAAGGAGATCATCGATCGCCAAACTGCACATTGGCCCTGCACACTTCATTACAGAGACGGAATGAATCCATTCGAATGATTTCACACTCGCGCACTCTTTTGGAGATGTACCCATGGTTCATTGGCCATGTATCTTTCTGCTATATGTCCACTTCTTTCCCGATGCCTCCCAAGCCAACATTGTTGTATATATATGCATGTGGTATTTTGTAGAAAAATAATGGTCAAGTTCATGTGCTTCAGGTCAACATATATGGCACAATGATATGCAACTAGGAGTCTAGGAATATAAACAGTTTTTTGTCTGTCATATTTACGCTACAGAAATTCTGGAAGTTTAAGAACGCGAGAGAAATTAAATTTCAGAGGAGAAAAAAATGAAGACATGCGGATGAGAGATGGCTGCAGACTGCAGTTGAAATATATGGGTGAGGATATATGGAGGTTAATTAGAAGAGAGTGACGAATATATAGAATTTGGCAGTGTTCAGATATCAACTGCAATAAAGGCATATATGGGTGATTGTTAAAGGGAATTACTACCTGTAAAAATTGTTAGTGCTTGACAAATCTTACTCAGGAGTGGGAGGATGGCTGGGGTTAAAGATGAAAATTAAGAAATTTGAAAGGAAGGATATTAATGGAAGTATGGGACATAAAGTACTCTAGAAGAGTATATTTTTTTAGATAATATTGAAGTTATATATTTTGAGACATGAAGTGCTCTAGAAGAGTATCTTTTTAGATAAATTTGATGGGCGCAGTCAGTAAGTATTAGCATTCCTTACTTTGATTAACTAGTCTCTCAAGGCATCACACCCTATACTAAATTGATGCCAAATTTTTTTACAGAGGTAAACAAATTCCATGTCGTCTGGAATTAAAACGCCTTAAGTCTGTTTTAATTTGCATATCTGCTTGCTGCATTTCAAATTTTCTAGACCAATAAACAACATTTCCTTTTTAAAACTTGCACACTTGCTACCCCTCTAGATTGATAATACTTGTCATTTTGGACAAGAGTAAAGTTAAATTTTAAAATGTTTGACTATGAATAGTTTCTGAAATATTTGTCTTGAAATTATGGAGATCATATGTATAGATTAGTTTAAAAAATACTTCAATAAAATCATATATTAGTTGATACTTTCATATATATTAATGTTCATAGTTATTTTTTGGAGACTGTATCCTTATCCAAAACAAAACAACATGCATTATCAATAGGGAGAAACATCATTCGGGGTTGTTAATAGGATGGTCTGTATGCCGGGACTAGGACACAATTTGATGAAATCAGAAGAATAATCACAAGGAATGATCAGAGCACTCAATTCAATTCCGGAGAAATGTATATGCAGACACATGATCCAGCAGCATTCTCGTTTTCTTTTCTTTGATGTAAAAACCAGCATGCTCGTTGAACAGATCAGCTAGTCGTGCATGGTGCTTTGCAACAGAAATCTTAGACCATGTAGTTTAACTTTATTTGTTCAATTTTTTTTTTGAAAGGAATACTACCAGGCAATGGCCCAGTAGTGTATTTTATAGAAGCCAACAAAGTATTTACAGGAAAAAAGAAAAACTACAAAAGGCTACAACCCCAGAAACTAATTGTCTAAGATCATCATTCATCCTACACATATGTAGAAGAATTTTATGCTTAAAAGAATTCCACCAGCGGTCAAATGAAGGATCTATATTCTGGAAAATCTTTCCATTCCTTTGCTTCCAAATGTGCCAACACGCAATGAAACAAATCTCTAAGAATCCTTTTTTCTGAAATCTCAATCTTGCTAGCACCAGCATCTGAAAGACTTCTAGAGAAGTGTTCCAAGATATTCCCAGCTTCTGCCAACACTTTCTACTAAAAGGGCATTGAAAGAACAGGTGAGACAAAGTTTCTCTGTGATGCAAAGGGCATAAGACACAAGTAAGATCAGCATTTAGGGGGGCGCATTTTCTCCTGTCCAACATGTCTCTCGTGTTCAGCCTATCAGAGAAAAGAAGCCATATAAAAACTTTTATCTTCATCACACACTTGGTCTTCCAGATCCATCGGAAAGGTCTGGGATGTTGCATGGCTGCAAAATTCAACTTGTAAAAAGCTTTTGAGGTGTAATTGTTCCTGCCCCATATAAAACTCCAATTATCCCCCTGCTGACTTGCTAAGGACAGAGCATCCAACTCTCCCTTTAGCTGCAGAAATTCTGTGTAAGCTTCCTGGGTCAGTGGAAACTTAAAACAATCCTCAAAGGGTTTAGCACAGGTGACAGCCAACGAATATTTCTGGCAATGGCATGGCCACAGAGATGTGGGTAAGTGATGCTCCTAATTTGGTCATTCCACATGTCGTCCCAAAACAAAACTGTGTTACCTGAGATAGCCTCACACTTTGCAATTCCCCTGAAGTAATCTGAAAGATTGATAATGTCCCTCCACCAAAAAGAACCCTTGTTAAAAACTCCGTGAGGAACCTTGGTCTGATAATATGAATTCCAGATTAACTTTACCCAAGGGAGGTCAGCCCCTTGATAGAATTTTGCCAAGTGCTTGAGAAAAAGAGCAATGTTATGCAAGGTCAGATTAATGACACCCATGCCTCCTTTTTCCTTTGGTCTACAAACTTTATGCTAGGCCGCTAAGGACTTTCTTTTCGAGCTAGTATCATTCCCTCTCCATAAGCAGTTTTTCCTAGCCTTGTCAATTGCTTCAATTACAGTGACTGGAAGCTGAAGGGAGCACATGTAATATGTAGGGATGGCAGACAACACAGAGTTCACAAGGGTTAGCCTCCCTCCATAGGGCAGGAACATAGAGCTGGAGGTTAGTCTTCTCTCAATTCTGTCAACCAGAGGGGCAAAGTCAATCAGTCTAGGTCTTGTTGTCCCCATTGGTAAACCAAGATAGGTGAAAGGCATTTGTCCCACAGAGCAACCCAACAGACCAGCTAACAAGTGTACTTTTTCTGGGGGAACATTCAGGGGGTAAAGCTGTGACTTATGATAATTCACCTTAAGTCCTGTGGATTGAGCAAAAGTATTCAGAATTGCTTTAAAGCAGAAGAGTTCTCTTTGGTCAGACTTAAGCAGAATGAGGGTATCATCTGCATATTGCACAATTGGGAAACCCTTATTGTCTTGCTCATTGATAGGCTTGGACAACAGTCCTAAAGAGAAAGCTCTGTTTACTACAGCATGTAGGAGGTCTGCTCCAAGGACAAACAACAGGGGTGAAAGAGGATCACCTTGCCTCACTCCTCTTTTGCATTTGAAGTAGGCACCTGGCACACCATTTAGAAGAACAGATGAGCTAGCTGTGGAAAAAATCAAGGAGACCCAATTTAGCCATTTCAGAGGAAAGCCCATATGTTTCATTATCTGAATTATTGCTGAGTGTTCTATAGTGTCAAAGGCCTTTTCAAAGTCATGTTTAAGCAGAATTATTTCCCTCTTTAATTGTTGACACTGATGATATATGTTCAAAAGACCAAGCCAAACAATCTTGAATTGTTCTGCCCTTGATGAACCCATACTGATTTACATGGATAATCTTGAGAATGACCCCTTGTAACCTATCGGCCAACAACTTGATTAGGAACTTCAGACTGATGCTCATCAAGGATATGGGTCTATAATCATTTACTTTTTCAGGCAGATGCTTTTTGGGGATCAGAGTAATATAAGATGTATTGATGCACTGTAGATCAGTGCATTCAGCATGGAAATGCGCTGCAAGTCTATAGAAATCTTGTGCAATTATTGGCTAGCATTTTTTGACAAACTGACCATTGAAACCATCTGGTCCAGGTGCCTTATGAACCGGGAGTAAAGAAATTAGACTATCAATCTCCTGTGTGTAAAAAGGGTCAATCAAGCTATCCAGATTCTGGGGGGCAAACAGGGAAGGCAAGTCAAAAGCCATTGAAGGAGAAGTTGTGATCCCCATTCTTTGCATAAAATTCTGGTAAAACAAATCAGCTTTTTCCTCATGAGCAGAAATAGAGGTACCCTCATCATTTATCACTTGGGGAATAGAGTTTATCCTAAATCTTTCTGTTGCCATGGCCTGGAAAAATTTGGTATTTTCCTCACCTAGGAGCATCCACCTATTGGTACATCTTTTCATATTCAAAATTCCATTCTAAGATGGATAGTGGCCTAAGCTCCTCTATCAAATCCAAGAAATCTAGAACCCTGTTTGAGTTGACTAGTAATTTAGATAGTTGGGAGTAATTTCTGCTCCAATTGAGTAGTTTTTTCCTCAAGTGCTTTAATTTAAAGGAGATGCACTTTGCAGGATCCTCAAACCCAGGGTCAAGGGCCCAGACTGACTGAACAACCTCAAAGAAACCTTCCAGTTGCACCCAATAATTCTCAAATCTAAAGATGGAGCTTTTAGGAATCTTAGTGCTGATTTTTACCACACATGGTACATGATCAGAAGTACTTCTTGTCAGGGCTTGAACATCAGTGTTTGAGAAAGCTAGAGTCCAGCTTGGGGAAGTAAAGAACCAGTCCAATTGCTGCAGCAGTGGGTTATCCTGCATATTACTCCAGGTGAAACTCGTCCCTTTTAATGGCAACTCCAAAAGTCCCAAGTGACTAATAATATCATTGAAAATAAGGATATCATTCATATTTGCCCCAGGCTTGTTTCGGTTATCAACTGATCTATAAAAATTGAAATCACCAAGGATGAGCCAATTTTCCACTGGACTGATATGAAGGTCTCGCAACCATTGAACAAAAAGATCACATTGCGGCCTAGCACAAGGGCCATAAACACAACATAAAAACCACGTAGCATTGTTGAGATTCGAGCTGAATTTGACTGTCACAGCATAATCATTAATCTGGACCGTACTCCCTTGAAGCAAACGAGAGACCCAAGCCACAAGAATTCCACCTGAAGCACCGCGTGAAGGGGAGAAGGCAAAAGAATCAAAGCGTTTTGGAGCAAAATTTTTGATGTCGGCTAAAACAAAATTCTGCTTTTTTGTCTCTTGCAAACATAAGATGTGGCAGGCACTGATATCAATCTGCTGATATAAGGCTAAGGATTTTCCTGGGGAGTTCATCCCCCGAATATTCCAACAGAGAATGTTCATACTTCTAGCTTGACTATTCATCGAGGACATAAATATAGCAGGAGAAACACAAGGTTATAACAAACAACCTTGATTGAACAAAATACCCTGAATACATGTCAAGCATATCATACTCAGTGCTTGAAGTAGTAACATAAATAGTCTGACAGCCACACATCACAACCAGGTGATCAAGGTTCCACAAACATACAACCAAAAGATAAGAGATATAGCTGCTATCCATTTAAAACTGAGATAAACAAAAGAGTCCAGGGAGGCTGCCTAGTTGTCTTCTTCAGATGGCCTTGGAAGCTTCTTCTTCCTAGCACCACCCAAAGTCGCCTCTTCCACCTCCTCAGGAGATAGACCGCATATTTCCACTCCCAACTTTTGCAGCAAAGATATTGAACAGTCAGAAGGAGAGGAATCAGATGTAGAGAGACAATCTTCATCTAAATCAGAATGAAAATCAGAAGCTGATAAAGAAATATTGCCAGCTAGAAGGTTTGAAATACCTGCCAACTATTTCAATTTTTTGGCAGATTTTCCTCTCGGCTTTCCTATGCCCATTCTGGGGTCAGGCTGGGTGAGCTCCTGACTAGAAGAACGCATCCGAGCACTCTGCCTTCTGTTAGGATCAAACAAGACAGTCTTGCCATCTTTCTTCTTGATTGGAGCTCTTGGTGGTTCTAACAGGAGAGGCACTGGTCCTGTTCTTGGCGGGCTCTTGGGCTGAGCCTGGTCCAGTGGCTCTGAAATTGCCAAAAGCTGAACATCAAGGATCTCATCTTGGCCCAGAGGGCCCATGTCATGGTCCATATCATCCTCATGATCCTCATGTTGAACCACTACCACGGGCAGCTGTGAAGAGTGGAAGACTGGCGGCAAAGAATCATAAATTGCATTCCTTCTTGGGAGCAGCAAAGCAGTGAAGGGAGCAAGCGCCAAAGGGACTGCTGGAGGCCCCTGAACTCTTTCTGCTAACTGTCTTAACAACTGATTCTTGAGAAGCACTTCCTGGATTTTGCCCTGAACAGAATCCGGCACAAAGAACACAGGAGAAGTTTCATTTTCTAGAACAGACATTGCCAGATTCTGGTTTGGACCAGCACTGATTCCCGAATTGCCTCTATTTTGTGGGTTATTCTCCCCCTGCTGTTCCCCTATTTGGTCGCCTGGTGGATTAGCAGGAGAGGGATCCCATTCCAGGTAGAGTTTTGCTCAGAGCTGTCTTTGATGACATTGATGCAGTGCCAAGAGTAATCGTGCTCAAAGAACTCCCCTTGCGAGGTGGCTTAGGTCAGTCCTGGACTTTTGGTGTTTTTGTTCTTAACACTGATTTTGCCGACATCCATCCTGGTGATGAAGACCTCCCGCCTTTATTGATTCATCCTCACGAACCTGCGCAGCAGCATGACCACATGGATTATTCGTTCAATTTGATCAGGACAACTGTGCTGCTGTCTTCGAAATTGTTCTAAGACATTGTAATTGTTCTAGCTCGAACCAGAGTGAATGTAGAGGATGCAGAAACTCGAACCACCTCGCGTATTGTTGGTGTAGGGGAAATAGTGGTAGCAGTGAGAACGCTGGCTTGATCCCAAAGGGGTCGCCGGCGATCACTCGTGAGGGTAGTGATAGCTTTCCGGTTGCCACCTACACTGTCCCGGAACCGCCACACGTTTCCCCTCCAGCGCCTATGTTGATTGGGTTTAGGGTCTGGTTATCGGGGAGATTGAGATCGAGAGAGATCGTCATCCGCTCTTGGGTCGGGCTCCCCTTTTACATTTAGCATTGTAGGGAATCGGTGGTGACTCAAAAGAAAATAAATTGGGCGCCACCGATCACTGCACACAGTTAATCAGGGATTAAAACAAATTGAATTGCTGTGATTTCGAGTTACAACAGGTGGAAAAAACTGTCTAGCCCGTTCTCCTCCCTGTTTTTTGAACCGAGAGATCAATTTTCTCAACAGTTAGTACCTCTAAAGGACTATAGAAATGTTGTAAAATAGCTTGTAGCATCATACAAATATAGGAGCCATTTCATTTCGATATTACTCCAACAAGTGTGTTAGCAACGCCTTCTCTACCATGATTCAAAATGCACCACATACAAGGTGCTACTATTCCTTGGATGTCTTCTAAAACAGTCGTCACCCATTTGGGACACTTTTGATGCTGTCAGCTTGTGTTTTCTAGCACCTCCCAGTCCTAAATCGATCAACGATACTCCTGCTATAGTTTGATGAGACATGTAGGCATGCATACTAGCGAAATTGATCTATATATATGTATCTGCTAGCTAGGTAGAATGTACGAATGAGAGATAATTAATGTTGCTGCCATAGTTGAATTGATTTTACTTAATTGTTTGGCTGTTGGGACGATGCATTATATATATATATATATATATATACACCGTGAGAACTTGTCATTGGCATCATATTTGAGCAAAAGAGAAGGGAAATCAACATATATGTCATTCATTATTTTGTTTTTGCATTTTAATGTACTCAATTTCGATCGTATACCATCTCTGTTATGATACCGGTTATTAACTGCATCTAGTCAGCTTGAGAAGCTTAGCTAGGAATTCAGAATAGAGAATTATAAGGTTCTTGAGTACTAAGTACAATAGGTAACTACACACGTGCAGAACAAAAAAATGACATATAAAGGATCAGCAGAGCGCCTCATATTTCCCCTTTCCATTGATCTCATATCCTTGCCATGTCGTGATGGACCCAGATGGTCCCCTCGCGAAAAAGGCTAGCTGTTGGTTAATCGTCGCGTTACCCATGAGATGTTGTCATAGCCAAGCGGGGAAAGTATCAATGTGACATCGTGTTATCCAGCCATCGGACTTACCGATGTTTTCGCTCCTTACAATCGCCATGTGCTCCTCGATGTAAGGAGCAACCAAAAAAGATTGTTGCAAAACCGTGAAATGTGCTTTACGGTATAAATCGATGTCTACAGTCATAATTGCTTTCCTTCCAAGAGTCCCCTTTCCCCGTAGCATCCCTTCATGCCGTGATTCGGCCACCCCGATTGGACGAAGGTCTTCAATAAATTCTAAGCAAAATTCTATGACCTCCTCTGTTCCATACCCCTTGGCTATGCTTACTTCTGGACGAGCACGGTTACGAACGTACTTCTTTAGAACGCCCATGTACCTCTCGAAAGGAAACATATTGTGCAGGTACACAGGCCCGAGAATACTGATATCTTTCACAAGGTGACTTAGAAGATGCGTTATTATGTTGAAGAAGGAAGGTGGAAAGATCAACTCAAAGCTGACAAGGCATTGCACCACATCATTTTGAAGGGCTTCTAATCTTTCTGGATCGATGATCTTCTGTGAAATTGCGTTCATGAAAGCACATAGCTTTGTTATTGTTGCTCGAACATTGTCAGGGAGAATACCACTAATTATAACAGGAAGCAGCTGTGTCATCAACACGTGACAGTCATGAGACTTTAGGTTTGTGAACTTCTTATCCTTCGTCCTTATTATTCTCTTTATATTAAAGGAGTACCCAGACGGTACCTTGATGCTCTCCAAGCATTCAAACATACTTTCCTTCTTTACCTTGCTAAGAGTGTAGCTGGATGGGCTCAAGCATTGGCTTCCTTTCTCCTTTGGTTCCGGGTGGAGGTCCTCACGTTGGTTCGTATCTTTTAGATCATTGCGTGCTTCAAGTGTATCTTTCGACTTCCCGTATACACCTAGGAAGCCCAGCAAGTTGACGCAGAGGTTCTTAGTGAGGTGCATCACGTCTATTGCATGCCGGACGTCCAAGACTTCCCAATAGGGTAACTCCCAAAAAATAGACTTTTTCTTCCACATTGCTGCGTGACCATCTTCGCTGGCTATGGGTTGGCTTCCAGGTCCCTTTCCAAACACTACTTTCAGATCTTTCACCATTTCGAACAAGGTTTTACCGTTTCGAAATATAGGCTTCTTACGGTGCTTGCCTTTCTTCCGGACAGTGTGGTTCGTAACAAGAAATCGACGATGCCCCATGTACACAACTTTTTTACAATGTTTCAGATACGTACTTTCAGTTTCATCCAAACAGTGGATGCAAGCCTTGTACCCCTTGTTTGACTGTCCGGATAGGTTGCTAAGGGCAGGCCAATCGTTGATGGTTACGAGCAGCAGCGCTCGTAGGTTAAATTCCACCTGTTTGTCCTCATCCCACACAGGGACGCCTTATTTCTTCCACAGCAGTTTGAGATCTTCAACCAGTGGTCTTAGATACACATCAATATCGTTACCAGGTTGCTTTGGGCCTTGAATAACAATCAACATCATGATGTACTTCCTCTTCATGCATAGCCAGGGGGGTCGTAGATACACATCGTAACAAGCCAAGTGCTATGGCCGCTGCTCATCTCTCCAAATGGATCCATGCCATCCGTACTTAAACTGAACCTTACGTTTCGTGGATCCTTTCCAAAGTCTTTAAACTTTCTATCGATGTTTCACCACTGCAACCCATCGGCGGGGTGTCTTAGCATCCCGTCTTGTTGACGTTCTTCTGCGTGCCATCGCATCAATCTTGCATGCTCTTTGTTCCTGAACAAACGTCTGAGCCGTGGTATTATAGGGAAATACCACATCACCTTAGCAGGAATTCTCTTCCTCGAAGGCTGTCCGTCAACATCACCTGGATCGTCTCTTCTAATGTTGTATCATAGTGCATTACAGACCGGGCATGCTTCTAGGTTCTCGTACTCCTCACCGCGATAGAGGATACAATCGTTTGGTATCCTCAAGTCCTAGAGGGCAGACTATATTCTTTGCTTCGTATGTTGTTTTGGGCAACTTGTTTTCCTCCGAAAGAATGTTCTTCACTAGTTTCAATAGCTCGCCAAATGCCTTGTCACTGACACCATTTTTGGCCTTCCATTGCAACAATTCCAGAGTTGTACCCAATTTTTTGTGCCCCTGTTCATAGCCGGGGTACAATGGCGTCTTGTGATCCGCTAACATACGCTCTAATTTCTGAGCCTCCTTTTCACTTTCACAATCCTCCTTGATGTCCTGTAACATCTGACCAAGATCATCTTCAACGTCAGCCCCTTCCACCTCGCACGTTGTATTTCCTTCAAATCCAACGTACTGGGCCCAGTCCGGAATGTTCTCGTCTTCTACTTCATCTTCTTCCATTCGAACCCCTTGCTCCCCGTGCGAGGTCCAAACATTATAGCTCGGCATGAAGCCCGTCTCAAACAAGTGAATATGAATAGTTCTAACTGTAGAATACTCTCTCTGGTTTTTGCACTTAGTGCTTGGACAACGGATAAAACCATTATTCTGCTTGTTAGCTTCTGCCACTTTCAGAAAATTATGCAAGCCATCAAAAAACTCTTTTGACCGTCAGTCCGCGCGCATCCATTGCCGATCCATCTACATGAAAAGCACAAAAATCATGAAAAATTAATCCACGAAATTCAAACCAATTAAACAATATTAAAAATAGCAATATATAATTATTATAAAATAATACAACAAATTATTCATGTTTTCATTCCCCATCATTTTAAAGTTGTAAACAAATATTAAATTTGTTTTACTTAATTTAATTTAAATTAACTAAGTTTTCCATTCTTTTTCATATAATTTTCTATCTTTTTCTTTCTCATCTCTTTTATCACAAGTTTTTTTTTCCAAATTCTAAATAATCATATTTGATTATAAAATAATACCACAAATTATTCATGTTTTCATTCCCCATCATTTTAAAGTTGTAAACAAATATTTAATTTGTTTTACTTAATTTAATTTAAATTAACTAAGTTTTTCATATAATTTTCTATCTTTTTCTTTTTCATTTCTTTTATCACAAGTTTTTTTCCAAATTCTAAATAATAAAATTTGATTATAAAATAATACCTCAAATTATTCATGTTTTCATTCCTCATCATTTTAAAGTTGTAAACAAATATTTAATTTGTTTTACTTAATTTAATTTAAATTAACTATGTTTTTCATATAATTTTCTATCTTTTTCTTTTTCATTTCTTTTATCACAAGTTTTTTTCCAAATTCTAAATAATAAAATTTGATTATAAAATAATACCACAAATTATTCATGTTTTCATTCCCCATCATTTTAAAGTTGTAAACAAATATTTAATTTGTTTTACTTAATTTAATTTAAATTAACTAAGTTTTCTAATCTTTTTCATATAATTTTCTATCTTTCTCTTTCTCATCTCTTTTATCACAAGTTTTTTTTTCCCAAATTCTACATAAACAAAATTTCTATATTATTTCATCCCTACACAAACTTTCTCTTTCATCATCTCCCATTCCCAAATTTCTAGAGGCAAAATAGTATACAAAACATATCTCTAAGTACAAATGCTTATCACAAAGTAGAGGAGGATGAAGTTGCTAACCTTTAACTCCTTCAAATTTTATATTTTCACCAAAACAAAATCACCAAAAATTTTGGCAGCACCTCCCCTCAAACTCAACAAATTTTTGAAGCCTTCTCGGGCTAGCTGGAGGAAGAAGAAGACTTTATATGGATGGACTTTTAGTCCCGGTTTGTGTTACCAACCGGGCTTAAAAATCGCCATGATCTTTAGTCCCGGTTAGTAACACAAACCAGGACTAAAGATCACCGGGGGCCTAACACACCCTGACAACTGGCGAACCAGGATGAAATCTTCCCGTTGAACCTATAAACCGGGACTAAAAATTGTTTTTAGTCTCGGTTTTTTGGTGAACCGGGACAATTGTGGTTTTTCCCCTACCCGGCAAAGATCACTTCTCCAGTAGTGAAAGGACCACAGAAATGTTGTAAAATCACTGGTAGCATCATACAGTATAGGAGCCATTTCATTTCGATATTACTCCAACAAGTCTGTCAGCAACGCCTTCGATCTCTACCATGATTCAAGACACTACAAGGTGTTACTGTTTCTTGGATGTCTTCTAAATCAGTCGTCACCCATTTGTGATACTTTTGATGCTGTTAGCTTGTATTTCCTAGCACCTCCCAGTCCTAGATCGATCAACGATCGATACTCCTGCTATAGTTTGATGAGACATGTAGGCGTGCATACTAGCGAAATTGATCTATATATACGTATCTGCTAGCTAGGTAGAATGTACGAATGAGAGATAATTAATGTTGCTGCCATAGTTGAATTGATTTTACTTACTTGTTTGGCCGTTGGGACGATGCATTATATATATACACGGTGAGAACTTGTCATTGGCATCATATTTGAGCAAAGGAGAAGGGAAATAACTTGTCATTGGCATCATGTTTGAGCAAAGGAGAAGGGAAATAAACATATATGTCGTTCATTATTTTATTTTTTTTTTGCATTTTAAT